GCCGCGTTCCACGGCGCCGCGTCCTCGGCCCTCGCGGCCGCCACGTCCGCGCGCGCGTCCGTCGGCGGCACCGTCGCCGCCGCCGCGACGGGCGCGGTGCAGACGACGCTGCGGCACGTGGGCGTGGGGATGCCGCTTAGCGCCCTCGCCGGCTGGATCATCGGCGGCGGCGGCCCCCTGGGGCTGGCCAAGTGCCTGGCTGGCGTGCTGGGAGTGGAAGTTGAGGAGTTGGTGTCCCAGCACGGGCTGCAGTCCATGCGGCCATGCTTTGACAGCAACACAGGTGAGAGGGGGCGATGGCGGCGGGCGCGGCCCGATGGGCTCGTCCCTGGCGCCGCGTAAATCCGCTGCAATTCGGCTTGTGTCGGAATAAACTCGCAAGCTTGCGCTTGCACGCCCCCGCGTTTTTCCAAGGTTTTGTTGCAGCCAAGGCGGCTGCTCCCCTTCTTTTGGCGAAAACAGACTCTTGCTGTCCAGTTCAACCCTGTGATTACGTGAAACACTTGCGACTCTCGCACGCCCCCTGCGCCAGGGGAGCTCCACGAGCGGTACTGTCGCCGCATGAAGGGCTGGCCCCACCTGGGTAGCCGCGGCGAGGTCGTCCTCAGGGCGGTCACCCAGGTCGCGCGCTGGACCCTGCCCTCCTTCCTCTGCCACGACAACGTCGGTGAGCGGCAGCTTCCCACCAGGGAGTGGGCGTGGGCGGCTGAAGGCTTGCAGGCGGCCGCTGCCTGCGCACACTCGGTTTTTATGGATGCGCAGGACACATTTGGCGCCATGAACACGCCCTTAGTATGCGCCTGTCAGTCGCAATGGCGGCTCGTTGCACGCGGCGACGCCCCCACTGCGGCAAGGCCGCCCCTCGCCCGCGGCTGCCAAGCTCAGCAATGTTGGCTTCCATCACTTTGTGTGCAGGCGTTTGGACGATGCTCAGCCGCTCTGCGCTGGTTGAGGCGCGGTGCAGCCGCCTGGAGGGCTACGAACCCCTCCCGTCACCCGATGACGTCACCTTTGACCGGGTCTACGACATCTCGTCCGACGAGCTGCTGCCGCTTCAGCAGGACCAGCAGCAGCAGCAGCAGCAGCAGCAGCAGCAGCAGCAGCAGGAGGAGGAGCAGCAGCTGGGCGACGCCGAGGCAGCTAGAAACGAAGCGATCACTGTTGACAGAAGGCGTGCAGGCGCGCAGGAGGTGATTGAGATGGCCGTCGTGGAAGGCGGAGGGTTGCCGGCGCTCGCGGTGCCCGCATCCGAGGCGGCCGCCGAGATGGAGCGGCGCCGGGACGCGGTGGCGGCGCTCGGCGCGGCGCTCGAGGCTGAGGTGGCGAGGCAGGGCCCGCGGCCGCTGGAGGCGGCGCGCGAGGGCGGCGGCAGCGGCGGCGGGGCCAGTGAGGAGGAGAGGGCGGACGCTTCGGGCTGGGAGGTGGTGGCGCGCGCGCGGCGGCGGCGGCGCGCGAGCGGGGCGTCGGGGGCGCCGTCTGATCTGATGGACGTGGATGACGAGGCGGCTCAGGCAGAGGAGGACGGGGAGGCTGGCAGGGGGCGCCGCTGTGGGCAGCAGGACCTCGCGTTCGCGTGATGTGTGATCTGAGGGTTTGGGAAGCGGTCCGGTCGGATGCGTTTCTAGCGACGGCTTTCACTGTTGCAGGCGAGTTTTCGCACAGCGGTGAACACGGGCACGCAACCCCAACAGGGCCGTGTAGGAGTGCGTGGCGCGCGTGAGGCCAATGGTGGAGTTGAGGCGGCGCTGCTTTTGTCATCCCAGCGCATTTGCGTTGCCTCGGGCAGCCGCACGCGGCAGTGTTTGCCGGGGTGCTGTACCTTATGTTGTCCTGCACACCGTTTTGGTGAGCCCCCCAAATGATGCACAGTGCTATCGTTGACATGCATGTAACATTCCATCTTTTCTTGATGTTGCGCAATAATGAAGTACACAGCACACAGCGGGCAGCACAGGCCTCGATCCATGTTCTGGAGGAAGCTCGTGTCTTGGGAAGGGAGCTGGTGTTAGGACGGGGGGCAACATAGCAAGGAGCACCAGGTGGCCGCACTGGTTTCAAAGGTCACTCTCCAGGAACGCGTCGCCACGGCGCTTCGGGACTTGCGTGCTCAAGGTTTCCTGCATGCCTAGACGAGAGCGTGCCTGGGGAATCATCCCCCCCCCCTGCCCTGCAGACAGGCAAGCCCGCCCAGAGCAGGTTGAGGCCACGCCCGCCCAGGACAGATTGAGGCTGACCAGCACCACTGCCAGAAGTTGGACATTGACGAGGACATGCTTGCGGCGGTGACAACATACTACACAACACATCCAAGCTGAACAAAGAGTAAACGCATTTTTGCATGTGGAAGTGTGTTGAACGCCAGCCAGCTGACAGCGCGATGACCGTGTGTGTTGACCGAACTTGACTTGCACTATTGCAAGCAGAGCCATCAATCACCCCGATCGCATGCTATGCATAGCGTGTCAATGAGTTGATTTCGTCGGTTTTGTTGCCTCGTCGTTCGTAGCAAGCAGTCGTCAATCTCGAAACCCGGATCTACATCGAGCTAGGAAGCGCGGCCCCCAGCAGATCAACATGGAACAGCGAGACGCGAACATTGTGGAAAACGTTCTGATCGATTCAGCTAAACACCCGTTGGAAAGCGCGATGCCAGACAGCGCCCCTGGCGCTGCAGCTGTGCGGCGCTTGCCGCACGCGCAGTCCAGTGGCGATCAGGGGCACGAGCGGGCGGATGCGCCACCCAGAAGCCAAGATGGCGCAACGCTGCCCCCTCCAGTGGCGTCCCACCCCGCCGCCGTCGACCTAGCAGTGGCCGCGCGCAAGCTGCGGCGTGGCGCCGCGCCGCAGCGCCTTGCATATGTGGAGCTCCTATCGCAGCTGGCGCCGCAGTCCGACCTGACCCTGGGGGAGGAGGGGCGGCGGCTGCCAGCAAACGTGCGGCCCTCCATGCTGCAGGTGCGCATGCCGCGCGAGCGAGCATGCGCCTCGTCGGCCGACGCGGCAGCGCGTGTGCCAGCGCGGCGCACCAGCCATGCTGTAGCACCCAATCAACTCCGTGCATGCAGCTGAGGCGACAACATCACCTGCATGCGGACCCTGCTGATTGCATCGCAGCTGAAGCATCGCCAAGGGGGCCACGATCTGGCCGCCACGCTGCTGCCGCTGCCTGCCGCCGATGGGCTGTCGCTGCTCGGGTTTGAAACGGGCGCCAAGGGGCAGCTGCAGCTGACGGAGGAGGCGCCTGGTGGGGCGGCGCAGTTCAGGTTTGAGCTAGTCAGGGCAGCGCACGTTGGACCCACAGGTGAGTCATCAACTGCTGCTGTGTGATTTATGCAAGCTCGTATGACCAGGCACTCTACCCTCAGCAACGGGGTGGGTGAATCCATCCACAACTAGGCAAGCTTTTGTGTCGTAATAAGAGACGAGCAGAGTGCATGAAATGAGCCGAGCTGGTTCCAAGATGCTCCAGAGGGCACCTGAGCATCCCAACCAGCTGCATGCATGGGGGTCCACCCACCACGCCTCAACAGCGCGGCGCGCGTCCCGGCCCCGCTCTGATCCTGCCGGCAGGTTTCGGGCGGCAGCGGGTGCCCCTGAGGCACTGCGCGCGCTTGGCGATCTTCGACCGGCAGCACCACCGGCTCCTCGGGAACGTCCACGAGATGCGCGCCGCGGAGGTGGGCGCGGCGGCTGTGGCCCTGGCGGAGCTGCTGCCACGCACAACCGGGTGTCCTGTCGTGTGGGCTGGGAAGCCAGCAGTGGCCATGCAGCCTCCACAGGCAGAGCAGCTGCGGCCCTCAGATGGGTGGTGGGAGCGCCGAATCAGGCACGATGTGTTTGAGTGGAGACAGGCACGCGCCCCCGCGCACGCAGGTGCGGTCGCGCGACGCCGCGTGGACGTGGCGGACAGACGCCGGCGGCAGCGCCATCGTGCGCTGCGCCAAAGTGCAGGTGGGCGGCCAACCGCGCCGCGCGCCCCCACAGCGGGGACGCCCTGCCGCGCTCGCTAGTCCATGGAGCGGCGTGCGTGGTTCGCGTGATGCCCGCTTGCTACGCGTGGGAACTGCATGTTGTACGTGCACTCGTGCGAAAAAGCAGCAAGGCATATCTGTGAACACGACCGCGCCGCGGGCCCGCTGTCACGCAGCCCGACCCGGCCCTCGGCACGCGCCCTGTCAACCCCGAGCGCCTGGTATTGCTGCTGGAGCTGTGCACGGCCTTCCGGCTGACGGCAGAAGACGCAGAGGCGCTGCCACCCGACGACACAAAGGCGCGCCTCGCAGATTTGTTTTCTGAGTCTTGGGTACTCGGGAGGGGTGCAGGGGAAGCGGCTTTTCATCGATTTATCAGGCACAAGTAAGAGACACCCCCGTGGCCCTCTGGCGACCCATGAGCGTGCATGCGTACATGGCAATCTCGCCTCTGGGCACACAGACGCTTGCGCGCCCCCCGCCTGCACCCAGTGGGCCGTGGTGCGCCCCTGCCACCCCTCAAGCCGCCCAACCGGCTGCGATTTCCTTGACCGGTGGCCGGCTTGGCGACAGGAGGGTAGACAGCACCATGCGGCGGCGCCGGCTGCTCGGACCACTCCTTTACCCTGAACACATTCAAACCCAACTGGCCCCGTCCCAAACGCGTATTGTTTGCCAGGCGCCGCGGCTGCTGGACGAGGTGTCCACCTGTTGGGCCATGATCAGTTTCGCGCGCTGCGCTGACCTGGCGAAGGAGATGGAAATCACCGTGGTGCGCACGCGCTGCCGCCGCTGCCAGCTGCTGCAGGGGCGCTGCTCCGGGCCGGCCCTTTGCTCAGGCCTCTCGCCTTTGCATCCGCTTTGCTTGCAATTCGTGTGTTATCAGTGGGTCCGTGGAGTCACGTGAGGTTGCGCTTTGGTGCGCTCGTCACCCGACGGCACGGGTGTCCCTTGCTGTTACGTGCTGCGGCTGTGGCGGCCCCTTGGACCTCACATTTTCATTTGCGCTCAACTCCAGTCGCGCCACCTGCAAACTCTCAACTCCCTACACACAGCAGTATCGCACTCGTAGCCCCTCAAGCGCCCCTAGCGTGCTCGAGCGCCTCCCTCATGCTCAAGCGCCTCTCACGTGCTCGCCCACCCCCCGCAGCCCCTCTACATGGGGTCCCCCTACGACCCGGTGCTGCTGTCAAAGCTGTACGAGGAGGAGCGCCGCCTGCAGGGCCCCCTGCTCAACCTGCTCTCGCGCCCCAAGCATCCGTCGCTCACATTCCGCGCCGGCCCCCTGCCGGCGGCGCAGCCGGGCGGTGGCGTATTTGCTGCGCTGGTCGCGCCGCTGGGGGCGATGCCGGGGACGATGATTGCGGGGCCCGACACGGCGTGCGCGCTCGCGGCGTGGCGGATGGCGCTGGCGGCGGCGCTGGCGGTGCAGCAGCAGGCGCAGCATCCCAAGCAGCAGCAGCAGCAGCAGCAGCAGCAGCAGCAGCAGCAGCAGCAGCAGCAGCAGCAGCAGCAGCAGCAGCAGCAGCAGCAGTCGCTGCTGCAGGGGGCGGTCGTCGCCGACGCCGCGCTGGCGGCTTTCCCTGAAATCTGCCGCGACGAGGCGGTGCTGGCGGTGTTCAGCGACAAGTGGTCGGCGGCCTGCAGGGAGCTGCGGCACGCACACCAGGTGGGACGCCTGCATGTGCACGCGCGCACCTCCTGTTTGAGGCTACGACTTGCGGCCAAGATGCCCTTGGGGAGTGCCGCTCGGAGCTGCTGTCTTTGCAGAGATTGCAAGGCATGCCTGGAGGAGGGATATGAATAGCACAATATTGGCCGCATGCTGCTCTTGCGGCCGTGACACCAGTTCGATCTTCTCCGGCGACGCAGGGCTCCGACTGCCTGCTGGGCTGCGACCCGCGCGCCGGCGCCCCACAGCAGCCGCCGCCCGCCGCGCTGGCCGCCGCGCTGCGCCGCTGCGTGCTGGCGGTCTCCCCGCTGCTGCGCTGCGCCAGCCTGCCGCCTCGGCACATCGGGAATTTTGCAGAGTGGTCGGAGCGACGCGAGGCGGTCTCGGCCGCCTTTTGCTACAAGTCACGCGGCGGCGGCGGCGGTTCCCGCGGCTGGGGCCGTTTGGGGGGCGGGGGCGGCGGCGGCGCGGGGCAGGCGGCGGGCGTGAGGGGGCGGCGCGAGGAGCGGCCGCCGGTGGAGCCGCTGAGTTTCATGGCAGGAAACGAGTTCCTGCATCGGCCGTTTGACGTGTCAGAGGTTCGGCTAGAGGCGGCGCCGGCGGCTGCGCCCTGGCTGGCGGTGTGAGGCGCGCGTTGGCACTGGGCTGTGCCTGAGTATTACACGCACTCACGTTCCGCAAGGCGACAACCGTTATGAAAAGAGAGGCGACCTCTGCTGTAAACAAAAGGCGTCCCCTGCTGCGCATCTCAGATCAACGCGTGCACGCTCAGGGGGGAGCTGGTGACGCCAGCGGAAGCCGGGCGAGCGCCAAGCGTCACTCGCCGTACCGCTGCCGCTTCGCGTCCGGCCCCCCGCTGTCCCGCCCGCCGCCGCCGCCCATGCCGCCGGGCCCCATGCCGCCGCCCCCCATCATCACGCGCCCCGGCATCTGCACCGGCTGCATCGGCATGAGTCCGCCCTGGAACATCATCGCCACAGCCTGCGGCGGCAGCACCACCACGCCCCCAGGCCCCGCCGCCATGCCGGCCCCCGGCGGCGGCGCCGCGACCATCACCCCGCCGCCGCCGCCGCCGCCGCCGCCACGGTACTGCCCGCCGCGTCCGCCGCCGCCGCCGCCACCCGAAAAGTAGCCGGCGCCGCCAGCCCCGCCGCCGCCGCCGCCGCCGCCGCCGCCGATGGGTCCATTGGGTCCAATAATCCGGCCGCCAGGCGGGCCGCCCGCTGCCATAACCATCTGTGGGTGCGCCGCGGCCGCCGCCGGGAACCCGCCGGCGCCGCCCATGCCGCCGGGCAAGGCGGCAGCGGGGACGGCGCCCGCAACTGCACCCGCGGGCGCGCGCGGCTGCCAGTTGGCGTAGAGGCCCGGCGCCGCCCATGTCGGGGCGCAGGCCTTGCCGTCCCCGAACACGCGCCTGAGTGTACGATGCGCGCGCACGTGTGTTGCGGCATGGGGCCACTGCCGGGACGCGCTCTGCCTGGACCACTGTCATCCCAAAATCCAAAGCTTCGCAGCGCGGCCGAGAACAAACGCATGCAGCCAGGGACCGAGTCAAGGAATTCTCCATCCTGGCCCTGCGAGCGAGCGCGCGTGCGCGGCGGCCCCGGCTCACCCCGCGAGCCCCGCCTTTGCTGCAGCGGCGGCGTCTGGGGCCCTGAAGTCGACGACCGCCACGCCGCGCGACCGCCCACAGGCGCGGTCCTCCAGGAAGTGCACCGCCTCCGACAGCTGGCCAAACTCCTGGGGGGTTCATGGGTGTGTGGGTGTGAGTATGTGGGTGTGTGAGTGTGTAGAGTCGCTGTGTGTGTGAGAATGTGTGCACTGGCAGATGCGTATATGTGTGATCGTGTTGAGCGCCGCTGGTGCGGGCCAGGTGAGGGGCCCACTTTTGATCTCGATAGCCCCCACCACAAGACACAGGGACTGCGGAGCCAACGGGCGACGCCGTGGCTGCTCACAGGCGCTGATGCAGGCGGCCTCATGGGCAGGGCTGGGCTGCATGCTTCCGGTGGGGCCTGCAGCCGCGCGCCACCCCCTCCTATGCGTCCCGCCGCCCCCCTGCCTGCCCCCACCTGTGCGGCCGCCTCGACTTCAGCGTCGGTGGTCCACCAGGGCAGATTAGTCAGGTACAAGACAGTCTGGTTGACCGGCTGCGGCGGCGACCGCGGCGGCGGCGTGCGGCTGCGCGCGCGCGGCGCGGCGGCGGCGGCGGCGGAGTCCGGCGG